AAACTTGATTGAGTAAATACTACTAAGAAAAGAGAGATAAGTTGTAGAGATCAAAACAAAATAATAACAAACAGAAAATGTACTTATAATCAAATGAATTCCTAAGGACATTTTTTTAGAAATAACATAAAAGCAAACATCAATATTATCTTAACTACAAAGACCAAGCAAATTGGAATATCTTCTCAGCCTAAACGTCTTCCAATTTTTTCACATTCTCATTCTTTATCGACTCAGAAATTGATAAGTCCAATGATTGAACTAACTCAAGTCATGGCTCTCAACTAAGTCGACTTGACTTAAGGTGGTCTTCTTTACTTTGTAAGATTAGCTTAACTCGTGACAAGTTTATTTTGTAGTTTGTACGATTTATAATCAAAGGAAGAAGAGAGAAAATGTTTCAAAGGTCAAGGGATAGGTTTGTTTTTTTAAGTTAAGCTAATCAATTTTAGTTTTTGAAGTTTTTTTAGGAACTCAAAATCATATAAACATCTTATTTATACCAAAACAAGCTGTAACAACTTGTCCATTCTCAATAGTCTTAAAGGTCCATCATCTTAAGGGTATAGCCCATATGGGCTTGGTGCATTAAAGAAATTAATTTCCTTATGTATTGCCCAAGATTTGAACCCTATACTTGCCTTACAAATGATACTTGCTTTTGGACGCAAATTGGTTCTAAAATTGCTATTTTCTTCATGTATCTTTTCTTACTCTAAACTCTGTAATTCTGAAATCTCATGTTTCTTCATTTTCTACTAAAGTCTTCCTTGCATTTTCTCGGGACTTGCTTATTTTCTCTTTTACCCTTGATTTATTTTTCCTTGCATTAGTTGGTAGTGGGTAAAAGAGAGTAATGTTGTTGCAAAGGCAGAGAGTGCAAGACCAGAAACCACTAAGTATTTTGAGATCTCTAAGGTTCATTTCCTTCTTTGCTCTATAAAACTTGACCATGGATTAAATACATAGATGTTATATATTTTCTTCTTGTTAGTCCAGTTTAGATAAGAATTTGGTATCATGTTTCCTTTCAGGAATATAGATTTCATGCTATGTATTTGATGATTAGGTTTACCCAACATATCATTTGATATTTAAAGCTTTTGTATGTGGTTTCTCTTTCTTAGGAGTTATTTATATCAAATGTCAAGTAAGAACGGATTATGTATTACACCCAAATGGACATTAACAATGCGCAACTCATAAATTTTAGTTTGCATTTTATGGTGTTGATGGATTTCTTTTTTTAAAATATTATTTTCTTCAAGCATGAATTCCATTAAATGTAAATTGCAGGGCTAAATTAACTAGTCTCTGACACTTTTTTTTTGGTTTTATAGACGAAAAAATGTTGACAATATCAACAACTTTCTTCTCCACTAGTCAAGTGTCTTCTTGGGCAATGGAGAAAGCTCACTTCCACCAACAAAGCCTTTTGGTCAGACTTTGAGGCTCTAACCCCATAATTCTATTGCAAGCTTCACCAAGCTCAAGGCAACTATGAATTCTAGAAAAGACTTTCCTTTTCCTACCACCATCATTATACGCGAGTTATTATAGGTTTCAACAAAGGCAAGGATCCTACAAAGTAGCTATTCTAAGAGTTGTTGGAAGGATTGGTTAGCCCTTAGCATGTATGCTTAAGATGGCACCCTTAGTTTCAGCCACCCACCTCTATGACATAGCTAACCTTGAGGGAGTTGTTGTAGATCTTAGGCACTTGAGCTCTCCATCTCAAGTTTTGGATTTCAATGGAGCTTTTAAATTAGTAAATTGTTTGAAGGGAGTAAATATTGTTGAAGTAACCTCGAGTCTAGTCGGCGAGAATGATCATTACAATTTTAATGAATTAAGAGAAGACGCAGAGGTGGAAGAGCTTGTGGACAGAATGGTCATTACAATTTTATACTTAGACTTGATCAGGACATCAAGCACTTGGACTTGATCAAGACATCAAGCACCTAGTGGGTGTAGTTCTGATTGTACTTGGACTTAATCAAAACATCAAGAAACATCTCAAATCAGTGGGGACTTGTAAGTGAATTTAGTATATAAGTATGGAGATCAACCAATACTAGTAACTTAAACTTAAGCTTTTGAGGGCT